TATGACATATACCCTTTACTGCTTAGAGGTCATGTTAACATTCTGCAACTGCCAAGAGTTTATATCAATTCTAATCTTACCCTGGAAATCATGCAAATGGTATTACAGAAATGCAATATATTAAACCACATACGTATAACTTTATTTATATAGCATCTTTCCTTGCAACAATACTAAACACATTGGCAACAGGGCTACTTTTTTCTTCACTAAAAACAACAATACCTCTAAATGTGAACTTGTAGGAAGGAATAAGCTGTACAGTCAATTTGGCAGAATAGTTCTCCAAAGTGCAATCATAATTTCAATGTTATATTTCTTGATTTTTATGAAAAAATATATTAACACTACAATATTAAGAACTGGAGTTACATAAAGAAAGAGGAGAAAGGAAAGGAAAGTTCTGGTTAATGCTAATAAAACTCTTCCAAGACATCCAGAATTTTTAGCACAATTAGCAATATAAAATGTTCCTATTCTGACATCTAGCTTTTGAATCCGACTCATGGATTTTCCTCTGGTTCGTTATAGTCCAAGGGCTATACTTGGCTTAAGAGTGTTTTTAAGATGAGAGAAACACAGTACTAGACATTTAACTCATATAGTTGTTATTTTAACATCCTATCTATCCATCTTGTTCAGTTATATGCTTCTATTTCTTGCTACTAAACACTGGTCATCTCAGGATACTTTAAGAGTAAAAGAAGAATGAAGCTGAATTGTTGGAGTACTTTGAATCACGAACAGGCAAGGCACATGTCAGAAAGCCAGCAAAAGGTCAAAGGATTACTTTATAATAACTCATATATAAAGTGGTTGGTGTCTTCTTCATTCATTTATTTATTTATATCTATATTTATAGCATTAACAGTCTACTATGACAAACAACTACAAATTACTGTAAAACGGCAGCCGTCTTATTTACCTTCAGACATGTTAACTGAGACTGTAACTGGAAAATCAATGGTATCCAAACTACGCCAAATAATGTTTTCAAATATTAGAAACCTATTTTCAATCTTTCACTGCTTGGAAATAGTAAACTTGAGAAATTATAATACATGCTGAAAAGCCACCAACACTACAATTAGATACACTAGCTGTAATGATAATAACTTTGTCCCTGAAGCAGTTAAATTATTTAGAGCCAAGGTACTAAGCCTTCTGCTGTATGGCACACAACCCTTTGCCTGTAAAGATGTAAATCAAAATGTTTAAGAACTATGCTTTGCTTGTCTCAATCTGCCAAATTATCTTATATGGCTGAAAATTGATTGTGTTTACAAGGAGGCCCATATGAGAACTGGACATTTGAAATACAAATTAGAACAACTTTTTCTGGGGACAAGCCCATGCAATCCTTACTGATAAATTAATCTCCTCTGGGAAAAATAATATAATCTTTGATTTATCCTACTATAGCCTTTCACACCAATTCCTGATAATGCTTGGCCAGAGAAAGATATCTTAACGGTCAAACAGAGTCATGATTTGGATTTAAAGAACATATTCAAAGTTTCAAACAATTGTTACAAGGGCTTCTATATCAGACCTTTCACTATTTGTATTTTTCTAACATCCTCTCTGTCTTGTACAGAAGCGCATTTATACTAGCAAGATTTATCCTCAAGGATGTTGGAGGGAAAGTTCAGTAACATCATATTATTATTAAGACAATAAGAGAGTTTTGTACATCACATATTACTGTGTTGCCCTCTGTGTGATACGTGGTGGTCTGAGTTATATTTCTTAACCTTGTGTGTAGATTGGCATGAAATGGAGCTTCTACTAACAGACTAGAGTATCTAAATTTCTTTGAAAGTTATTAAATTGTGTTCAATTGTGACTACTGTGAAGATACTGGTTTTAATTTATATTCAGGTTTGGATCTGGGCTACCTAAGTTAGTCTATATAAAAAGTCAATGTTTAGTGTTTACTACCACTAACATTCTAATATGTTAATTCTTCATTGCATTTATTATTTTTAATATATAATGTGATTTTTTTTAAATCTCTATAAACTAATAAATACCTTTCTTTTTCCATTCTATATAGTTAAGAGAAGGTTTTAGTGATATTAATAATTGCCAAAGGAGATCATAATTTTAACAGAAGCTTTAAAAAAAAGTTTATCAACAAACATTGCAATAGAAAAACTGAACAATCACAAAATCATCAAATCTGTTCAGAACAGAAAAGTAATATAAGCCATGCTGGCCTTTATCACTGTAATAGCAGATTGGAGAAAATCACATGAAATTCATTCAACAGTGCTCTGGTTGTCTGAACACACTTCAGATCTTAGTTACATAAATAACATGACAAGAATTTCTTTTGGCCATGCTATCAATTTATACCTGTTGATTTATGTCTGGCTTAAATTTAGTATGCAAAAAGAACAATTATATAGTAGGTTTCAGCTGATACGCTTTTGTATCATAGGAAAACCACATTATGGCATCATTGGTCTCACTGCAATTGAAGAACAGTTTACAACACAGAGATGCACCAAGTCTCATGCCTTTTGTCAACTAAACTGCCAAACAACTCCCCATAATAATCCAACTGAATTCAGATCTATCATGGGAAAAAACTGCATAAACGACAAAATGACAACCCAATGAGAAAGACATAGTTTGGCATCTGTATGTCAAATTCTTGCCCACATACTTAACATATATACATTATGATACGTAGCTAACTATAATACTTTCAAAATTTGTTGTATTTAGTAGATTTGACTGCAGTCTCAAGAGAAAAATTGAGACTGATGATCTCCATCAGTTAATGAATACTAATAACTTCTTATAATTCAGAGTCCTAAAAAAACAAAAGCTATGCTTTGGAAATGTCTAAGATAAAACTCTAAAGTGCAAGACCTGCTTGTAATAATTTGCAAGAACTTGTAAATTGATCTAGCGCTGCAAGTGAAATTAGAGACAGAAGTGACCTAGTAGGATAGTAATCGTTGTCTCAAACTCAGTAGATCTGTTCTTGAACTTGTGCTGTAATGGCAATGCATTTCTAACTTCAACACAGTGCTACTTCTCTTGAAGTGGTTAGTCAGATTATGCATTCAGCACAAATGCATATTACTATTGAAAAGCAGAAAATGTAGACTAAATTTGGAGAATGTGACATCTTTGCCAGTACATTACACATTACAGTTATTTCATCTTTAAAATTAGAATAATGTACTCCCTGGTTTGTTCCACTGTGATACGCAAGTATCTACCTAAATTACGATATTTAAATAAAAATAAGGAAAAGATTCCTCTAAAATACATTACTGTACACCAATATTCAACAAATTGGGATTTAAGTCTGAGAATCACATTATCAACTAAATATCAGATCTCACATCAGTGATTATTTTTACCTTAAATCTTGCATAGAATTGCACAGATTGGATAATCCAATAAAATCTAAGTGCTATATTACATGCTATTTATTTCAAAATACAAAATAATGCCCAATAGAAGTGGCATATAGACATAAGATCCTGACAGGTAAATCCAGGATAAAAAGGATCCATAATTCCACTGTGACCAACTATTTATATGCTTTCATTGTACAAAATGAGATAGTCTTTAATATAATGATACTCTCTACTAAAAAAAAAACCCTTAACCATTGATTAGGCTACAAGATAAAGATAAAAACAAAAAAAAATCACATCTAAAACTATTTCTTCTATGACCTTCAATTGCCTCATAATACGTAATCAGCATGGCAGTTTCTTAACAATGGATGACATTACTCAGACATGGTGAATTATCTAGGCCCATTTGAATGGCAACTTTCACTTTATTAGATTTCAGACTAGTTAAGCCTGTGATATTTCATTGTCCCTGATTATGATAACTTAAGCAGGCCCTTAGATTCCTAGTAATAGATGTTCTATAGCTATATGCCATATCACTAAGAACAGCATCCACTGTTTTATTGGCAACAACAGGGTCCATAACCCTTAAATGGGTGGTAAATGCTCTCCAGGTGGCAGTGGAGGAGACAGTCTTAAAAGGAGGGGGGGGGACTATCATCCTCTCTTGAATATCATACCATTGTATGCAGAATTATAAACAGGCAAGATATTAGCTGCAGAACCCAGCAACTTTTGAGTGCAGTCTGCTTTAAGGGAAAGAAATATTCCCCTTAAAAGTGTTCCATTCTCTGGCACAATTAGATGTTCTGTACGCTTCAGGGTATTCTGGAGTTTCAGAGGGCAGGGCACTTTTAAGAAAAGCCACATTTACAACAGACTTTGTTTCCCACAACGTCGTTATGTTAAAGGAGAAGTCATTGGAACTATATAGGTGAAAACTGATGAACCTTTCTTAAGCGAACGCTCATCCCATATTTCTACCTGTCATCAGGTCAGGAGGTTGGCAATCCAAAGGTATCAATAACGTGCATTGTTTTTCTTTAAAAAATAAAAATAAAAAAAAGAGCTCCTACGGTTAAAATTCTTTTGAAGAAAAGGGATTCACGGTCGTATTAGTGTTCTTTTTTTTCCTTAAAGAAAGAGAAGGTTAAGACTAAGGGAGAGGCAGGGCCACCTTGAGCAGACGAAAAGCAATTCTCTCCCCATCCCTGGAGTGGATGAGACGGAAGGCACGGGGATACTTCCCCCTCCCCTCAGTCTCACCTTCCCTTTCAGGTCAGGGGGGCCTTGGCCCTAGCCCTGCCCCGGGGTCCCTGGAGGTCCCGCTCCCTCTTGGAGAGCGCCAGCCAAGCCTTTTAGTTGAGGAAAGTTGGAAGGAGAAGGAGGAGGAGGAGGAGGACCGCTTCCAGGAAGCGGGGCGCTCTCTTCGGGCGGAGGAAGGCAGGACAGACGGACAAGTCTCCCAAGCCCGGAGACCGCCGAAAGAGAAAGGAGAGGCGGCGGCCGCCAAGGGCCCCTCCCGGCTTCCCTCCTCATTGTGAGAAGCAGCTGCTTCTGGCTCGCCTCTCTTCCCCGCCTCGGCCAAGCACAGCCCAGCCCCTCCGCCGCTCTCACCTCCGGTGCCGTCCGAGTTCTCATTGAGGCTGCCCGAAGAGTCGTGGTGAGAGCCCACACACCCGCCCATGGGGCCCGGCCGTCCCGGCCCGGAGACCCCCCCCCCCTCCTCCGCCTGCTCGCCGCCCGAGCTTCTCCGTCGTTGTCGTCGTTGCCACCGGTCGGGCAGGCGCGCTGGCTGCGGAGCCGCCGCCCCCTCCTCGTTGCGCTCGGCCCGGCCCCGCCTCAGCGCCCGCCTCCAGCGCTTCACTCGCCCGCCCTCCCCCTCCCCCTCCTCCTCCTCCTCTTCCCCCCCCCCATCCGGGCCGGCAGCGCGGTTTGCGAGCGCGGCAGCCTCTGCGCCGAGCCAATCAGGCCCTCCTCCGCGCCGGAGGGGCTGCCCGGGGCCCGGGAGCCGCGCTCTCCGGGCAGCTCGAGGGCCTTTTCCGGGCTCCCCGGCCGCCGCTACGCGGACCCCCTCCTGGCGGGAGGGCCTCCCTTTCTCTTTCCGAGAGAAAGAGAGACCCGGCGGCGGGGGCCGCGCGCAAGGCTGCCCCTCTCGCCAGACGCCGGGCGCCTTCTGGGCGGTCTGCTGCCCCGCGTCAGCTTTCCAAGCCGGGCCCTTCTCCGCTTCTCCCCTTGAAAGCGAAAGGCCACCCCCGCGAGAGCAGCGGGGCGCATTGCTAAGCCCTACCTTTTTACCACAGACACTGCTGGGCGGGGAAGCGCTTTCTACCTGCTATGATGGCTCCCGTTGTCGCCGCATCCTTCTTCCCTCTCCTGCTCCGTGCTGCCCGGAGTTAATTGCAGCCAATATCAAATATGCAAGATTTCCATCTATATTGACCCCTCCTTTTAGGCATAAAAACAGAATTATTTGTGGAGAGCACCAAGGATTTCACAGTTCACGCCTGAGCTTCATATATTGTTTCCTATTACAATCATTTGCCTTGCTGCTTTTCCCCCAAGTATTTTTTACTGGAGGTGATGCAGATACCTGTTTAAAAACAGAACAAGACTGTTTACCTACTCAAAACAGCAGTTACGGTCAGGCCTGTCGTTATCATTTGTTACTTCCTTGGAAACCTTGATTTAAAAGGGCTGCATATATATTTAAATAAGATGGGTGTCTGAAGTCAGCAGGGATATTTATAGGTTTAAATCCCTGACTTTAGATGGACAGATGCATGTCAGCCCAAAATACAAAAAAAATATATATGGAAAGATAGCCTATAAATATTCACAAATTTTTCACCTTTTACTCCACTTGGGGCATTTTTACATGGTATCTTTTCCACCCTGCAGTTAGCCCAAACCATTTTAAAGCCAGCTCTGAATATCTCCCTCTATCATCATGTCTCTGAATGATGAAAATCTAGAAGCCAGTTTGAGCCAAGCTCTGCTTTGGAGGAGAGGAGAGTACAAAAATTGGCATTCGGGATGTCAAGAATAAAGTGCAACCAAGAGGAGACTGCAAAAATTGGCATTCAGTGAACGCTGTGCTACCTGAGCTGGGGTACATTCATTTCCTAAAAGTAAAACATTCTAGATCTCTGACCTCCCTAATTATCTTGTCCAGGCCACAGGCAGAACTTTCTGGATCTCAAGGCAAACTGCCAGATGAGTTCTCCCAAGGGTAAGAGTGCTCAAGCACTAAGTCCCACTATCCAAGTCCAGAGCAGGTAAGAGAAAGGAAGGAAGAGGGTTACATACAGTGGTGGGATTCAGCTGGTTCGCACCACTTCGGCAGAACCAGTAGCTAATTTTTTGTTGCCCAGGCCCAGAATGGACTTCCGGAAGCGGCATCCACACAGATGTGGGAAGTTAACCCAGAGAAGGAAATATTAAAAAGGCAGAAAAAAATATTGTTCACCAAAAGGATTTTTAAAAGCATTTTTTGAAAAGCAGAAACCAAACCTGGCCTCATCTCCTTGCCCAGGGCAGTAGCTGGTCTTATACATATGCAGATGTGGAACCATCAGGAAGTTTGGAGCCAGGGATCTCAAGACAAAAGAAGCTCTTAAGAGTCATTAGCCCCATCACCTGGGAAGCAGNGCCTAGAAAAACACTCAGAAATAGCCTCAAAGTTCATGCCACAGGAACAGGAAACTATCCCAAGCAGGGCTGGGAGGGGGGTATAAAAAGACCTTCTGCCCATGTGCTCTCTCTCTTTCCTTTCCTCTGCTGCTTCTTGCAAGACCATCTGTCTTCTGCAATAAACTGTAACCTTCTTCCCAAAGCAGTTGCCATGTTTGCTTATTTATTCCTGGCTTGGATGAACCAGGATGAAGACTTACTTCAAACACAGAGAACTGGTTGTTCACATATTTGAATCCCACCACTGGTTACATAGCTGTCTTTTTCCTATTGTAGAAATAGACCTTACCTCCAAAACCTCCTGGCTTTGCACAAATTTCTTTGTCGCATTTCCAAGTATGGCTGTGATTTCTCTCTTATCTTTCCTGCTGCTTCTCTACTACAGCAATTGGAGCTCTGCAGGTAGAACCTGTTTTGTTAAAGATGCAGGGCAAAGAGATTCTAAGACGTACCCCACTTCCTTGTCTTTATTCTTGATATAGCCCTGTACGTGTTGAGATGCAATGTAATGGATAAAAGGAATCACTTTTGAGCAACAAAATGAAAGTCTGCAACTAAGATAGTGATCAGGTAAAAGAAATTTGAGTCTGGAGCAGAACTGTAACTGCAAGATTCTGTTATATCCTTACAGTAAAAGTAGTATTGGTTTGAGTGTCTTTGGCTTTCAAGTTTGATGTACCTTGGAAGGCTGACATGCCTCAGGAACACCTTGATATTGTTTTGTTGAATTTTAAAAAAGCCTCTGAAGGCATACACAACATACTAGCAGTTAGACTTATATACCGCTTCATAGTGCTTTACAGCCCTAAGTGGTTTACAGAGTCAGCATATTGCCCTCCAAAGTCTGGATCTTCATTTTACAGACCTCGGAAGGATACAGGGCTGAGTCAACCTTGAGCCGGTCAGAATCAAACTTCTGGCAGTGGGCAAAGTCAGCCTGAAATACTGCATTCTAACCACTGTACCACCATGGCTCCCTAGTGCAGGGCTTTTCAACCAGTGGTACGGGTACCACTTGTGGTACATTGGCACCTGGCAGGTGGTACGCGACCATCCTAGAAAAGTGGTAACGGGGGAGGGCAATGAGCTGAACCGATGGCAGCACCACACAAGCCTGAGCGAGAGATGACGGGAGCTGCAGGGCTGTCAGGGCTCAGTGGAAGTGCCAGGATCAGTGCTGCTTTCCAGCTGATCGGCGCTTCTTTGAGGCTGTCAGGGCTCAGTGGAAGCACCAGGATCAGTGCCAGGCTCCAGCTGATCCCAGAAGAAGCGCCGATCAGCTGGAATGTTGCAGCATCTCCAGGTTCTTGTGATTTACATTCAGATGCTTGGCAACTGATTCATATTTATGACGGTCACAGTGTCCCAGGGTCATGTGAAGTGGCCAAAACCTGCTGCAACCACCCAGCAGATGGGGGAATAAAAACCAAACACCCCCCACCCCACCCCTGCTGCCAATCCTCAACAGAAATGCTCACAACAATGAAAATCTCAGACAGGAGGAAGAGCGCCACTGGGTGGGCAGGCAGGTGTCTTGCTCGGCTGTGGCTTTGGGGGCACTTTTTTCAGTGCCATTGTAACTTCGAACAGTCACTAAGCGAACTGTTATAAGTCGAGGACTACTTGTACTTTATCACTTTTTTCCTTTTTTTTTTTTTTGATCATCAAGTGTTTGACACCTTGCTAGGCGACTGGTGGTACTCGGATGTTGCCATATCCTAAAAGTGGTACAATGGGTGAAAAGGTTGAAAAGCCCTGCCCTAGTGGTTCTGAATCCCAGTGTTTCTTTCAGTAGTTTTCAATATGATTGCAGGTGGCCAGAGAGGGATAAGAAGAAGACTCAAGAAATGGAAAGCAAATCTTCTTTGGGGTGGGAGGGAGAAAAGAATTAAGATTCTGTAGTCCAGCAGTTGGTTGACAGGGCAAGTCAAGACATTCTTTCAATCAGCAAATCATCCTCAAGTACCACCAGCCTTTGCAGAAAAATCTTATGCTTTTCCAGTTTCAGACGACTGGCACATAGCCAGAAAAAAGTTAATTAAACTCTTCAAACTAGCCAACACCAACTGATTAGGCAACTCCAGAGCCGACTTTGCGCTGGCACAAACTTATTATGCAGCAATGTCTCCGTGCAAAATCAGACACTGTCTCCCTCATTTTGTTGCATGATTTTACTTAATTTGTTCCTAGCCATGAGTGAACAGTTTTAAGTCATCCTCAAGGGCACTGGCTTAAAAATATATTGTTTTTCTCTTTTAAGCTGGATTCTCCTGTCATAGATTCAAGATGTCTAAAATCTGTAATGATTTTGTACCTGTGATCTTGGATACAAAGTCAGGGGCTGTATTCTGAGTGTAAACAGGAGTGTCCCTTCCTTCCTTCCTTCCTTCCTTCCTTCCTTCCTTCCTTCCTTCCTTCCTTCCTTCCTTCCGCTTAACTCCAAGCCAATTCTGGAAGTGTGGGCAAGCCACCTTTCTCATCAGCTAGCCTCTTGTGTAGCCATTCCTCAGCTGTGTGTCTTCTTTGTTACACCATGTTTCCTGAGTTTCTTTCATTATATTTTTGAAACCATCTTCTCCCCAGCAAAGCAGGAAAAAAAAGTAGTTTCTTCCTTCCTATTTTATCTGAAGACGAAGAGGGGACATATTAGCATAATTTTACATTAACAGTGCTTTGAAATGGCATCTCAGAAAGTCATTATAGCATCTTTAGCTGTAGCAGCCCCATTTTAATTCAGTGCAGTATCTGGAAAATAATAAGAAATGTCACATTAGGAGTTTCTTACTTCTTTGCTAGTTTCTTTGTTATTTCTCCTCCCGTCACCATTTTCAAAGGAGACCAGCATCAAATCAGTTTCAACTATTGATTTATTGTACTTCAATCATTGCACATTTGTGGGTCAGGCTGCCTCTATTTCTGCCTGGGTGTCTTCTCTCCTTTTAAAATTCCATTACAGAGAATCCCAGAGAGAATTAGGTCAGATTTCAGGCAACA